TTTGACAAAACATTTGTTTACAAATTGATTACATGTTTGCAGTGTTTTGAACGACGCGTTTGAATGCCATTTCATAGACCACTGATTGTCTCATAACAAACACATTGACAATGGATTTGTTGTCTTCTCGTGAATGCATAGAATCGGTGGACAAATTGCGGACAATCCGTCCGTTCACTGAAAGCCAGTTATTAACGCTTTATAACAACAATCAGTTGGAGACTAACAACTCATTCATTGAACACTTCATTCAGGTTTGCATTCAATGCCTTTTATCACAATTAAACACGTGTTGTGTTTGACATTAGTTTAAAACTAGATTAATTAGCGGCACATTAACTGAATGACTACATTGTCGTATTAACTAACCATATGCTAAGATTGTGGTTAATTTACTGTATTGTTAGTGATTAGCCAAATGATGGCAACAATCTCTTCGCATTTGAAACACACCTCCTTTTTAAACGCCTTTTAAAACATTTCATTTTGTGTTAATTTGTATTTTTAATAAACTTTAGGAAACTTTATTTACTAAACATTATTATCATTAGAAATGCATTTGTTTTATGAGTTGTTATTTTGTAGCAAAATCTTCGCAACGAAAGCAACCGATTATATGAACTGTTGGTTGAATTAGAGAAATGTCGGGAAAGACATAACGACAGCAACAATAAAGTGGAAGAATTGAAGAATAATTGCGATTCCCTTCAGGAGAAGGCCTGGTATTTGAAGCCCAAGTCTATAAAGAACTGTTGGTTGAATTAGAGAAATGTCGGGAAAGACATAACGACAGCAACAATAAAGTGGAAGAATTGAAGAATAATTGCGATTCCCTTCTCCTCTTCCGGACCATAAACTTCGGGTTCAGATATTAGGCCTGCTTGGCCACGAGGCTACCTGCGTGACACCTTCGCCAGGTATTTATATTGCTTAGATAAGAATTGTTTCTCTTACAGTTTGTTAAAGATAATACTCTTCTTTGGCTCAAAGAATGCATTTCTAATGACAATTGTATTAACTATTATTTGTCTCAATTCGTTCGCCTCGACGTCGAGAACTTCATGACAGATGTTATCAACGATAAAGATTTGGCCCACAAATCAAAGCAATTACGAAATGCCATTTCAGACCTGTTCTCATACCAAAGAAGGTGTCTTATTATGCGCGACAAAGAACTCAATAAATTGACACTCAATTGGCTCTTAAATATTGTATGCATTTCTTGTTAACATATCTTTAGAAGTGATTAATTAATTAATTTTGTTTGTCTAATGAAAAGTCGGCAGAATTTATATCTATGTCTACACTCGACGATCAGTTGTTTTTATTGAATCATGTGTTGAGATGTGCGGCCGGCTCTTCGGTGTGGTCCACATGTCTGATCCAATGCCCGAATCCTATGGCAACATCAGATCCAGAGCTGGCCAACCAGTATATGAATCATTGCATTACTGTTATCTCAACAATTCTATCGCCAATAAAGTAAATTAAAACATTTTATTTGGCATTTAATTAAAACAAATTGTTTCAATAGATTGCGCGAAAAGTTTATCGGAATTACAAAGAGTGACAAAAAGAGTATCACTAATAACGACGAGACTTGGCTTTTAGTTGATCCCGATATGAGTGTATGTTTTTGCAAACTATTGTATCATAATATAGGATAACATGGGTTTATAAATGTTTATAAATAGGGCGAAGATGTGACCAACAGTTACCTTCAAATCACCGAATTAGATGTGATCCGTTTCTTAAAACAGGTCCCATTCAATGATGTCTTAAAATTTGTGTCAATGAACAAAAGCTCAAATGGTTTGATACAGCGATCATACAATCTCTATGAATGTAGTGTTTAACACAATTGTATTTCTTACAGACTATTCTAACAGTAACTCATACGGAGAGGCGACAGAATTAAAAATGTTAAAATTGTTGGCTTTCAGTACAAAACTAATTCAAATTCTCAGACAAGGATTGCATAGTTTTAATTGTTTGAGATTCAAAGAGCTCACCGCTTATATCAGTTCAATGATTAGGTAATTGATTGCGAGATTAGTATTAAAAATAAGTAAAACTATTTTTTGTTTATTTTGTTACAGACGAACAGTTTTAGCGGTTTCTGATCTATGGGTGAGCTGTAAGAATGAGTTCATGTCTGGCGATCAGGCGATGATTCTTCGACTACAAGTAGAATTCGATCACTTTATGTTGCGGTCAATGATTGCCATTTTGACGACCAATAGACAGGGCGTCTGGACTTTCCTATCGGTGTTTCCATTCGACGGCGTGTCTGAGTCGATGATGTGGCACATCCTTTGGGTCGTCTATAACAATGGTAGGGATGAGTTGGACGAGTTGGGAGGTCTTTGTCCATACTTTAGTGTCAGTTACTGGAAGAATAAGTTCCNAGGAGAAGGCCTGGTATTTGAAGCCCAAGTCTATAATCCGGACGAACCGGTGCTCCGATGGACGCACTGTGGAAGCGGTCCATAAATATAACGAATCTATTCTTAACAAAGAGAATGTCAAACAATTGGATAATACTCTTCTTTGGCTCAAAGAATGCATTTCTAATGACAACTGTATTAACTATTATTTGTCTCAATTCGTTCGCCTCGACGTCGAGAACTTCATGACAGATGTTATCAATGATAAAGATTTGGCCCACAAATCAAAGCAATTACGAAATGCCATTTCAGACCTCTTCTCATACCAAAGAAGGTGTCTTATTATGCGCGACAAAGAACTCAATAAATTGACTCTCAATTGGCTCTTAAATATTGTATGCATTTCTTGTTAACATATCTTTAGAATTGATAACATATCATATGATTATTAAATTTTTTAAATTTTATTTGTCTAATGAAAAGTCGGCGGAATTTATATCTATGTCTACACTCGACGATCAATTGTTTTTATTGAATCATGTGTTGAGATGTGCGGCCGGCTCTTCTGTGTGGTCCACATGTCTGATCCAATGCCCGAATCCAATGGAAACATCTGATCCAGAGCTGGCCAACCAGTATATGAATCATTGCATTACTGTTATCTCAACAATTCTATCGCCAATAAAGTAATTTAAAACATTTCATTTGGCATTTAATTAAAACAAATTGTTTCAATAGATTGCGCGAAAAGTTTATCGGAATTACAAAGAGTGACAAAAAGAGTATCACTAATAACGACGAGACTTGGCTTTTAGTTGATCCCGATATGAGTGTATGTTTTTGCAAACTATTGTATCATAATATAGGATAACATGGGTTTATAAATGTTTATAAATAGGGCGAAGATGTGACCAACAGTTACCTTCAAATCACCGAATTAGATGTGATCCGTTTCTTAAAACAGGTCCCATTCAATGATGTCTTAAAATTTGTGTCAATGAACAAAAGCTCAAATGGTTTGATACAGCGATCATAATGACCAACAGTTACCTTCAAATCACCGAATTAGATGTGATCCGTTTCTTAAAACAGGTCCCATTCAATGATGTCTTAAAATTTGTGTCAATGAACAAAAGCTCAAATGGTTTGATACAGCGATCATAAAATCTCTATGAATATAGTGTTTAAAACACTTGTATTTCTTACAGAATATTCTAACAGTAACTCATACGGAGAGGCGACAGAATTAAAAATGTTAAAATTGTTGGCTTTTAGTACAAAACTAATTCAAATTCTCAGACAAGGATTGCATAGTTTTAATTGTTTGAGATTCAAAGAGCTCACCGCTTATATCAGTTCAATGATTAGGTAAACGATTGCGAGATTAGTATTAAAAATAAGTCCAAATCTATTTTGTTTTGTTTATTACAGACGAACAGTTTTAGCTGTTTCTGATCTATGGGTGAGCTGTAAGAATGAGTTCATGTCTGGCGATCAGGCGATGATTCTTCGACTACAAGTAGAATTCGATCACTTTATGTTGCGGTCAATGATTGCCATTTTGACGACCAATAATGACCAACAGTTACCTTCAAATCACCGAATTAGATGTGATCCGTTTCTTAAAACAGGTCCCATTCAATGATGTCTTAAAATTTGTGTCAATGAACAAAAGCTCAAATGGTTTGATACAGCGATCATACAATCTCTATGAATGTAGTGTTTAACACAATTGTATTTCTTACAGACTATTCTAACAGTAACTCATACGGAGAGGCGACAGAATTAAAAATGTTAAAATTGTTGGCTTTCAGTACAAAACTAATTCAAATTCTCAGACAAGGATTGCATAGTTTTAATTGTTTGAGATTCAAAGAGCTCACCGCTTATATCAGTTCAATGATTAGGTAATTGATTGCGAGATTAGTATTAAAAATAAGTAAAACTATTTTTTGTTTATTTTGTTACAGACGAACAGTTTTAGCGGTTTCTGATCTATGGGTGAGCTGTAAGAATGAGTTCATGTCTGGCGATCAGGCGATGATTCTTCGACTACAAGTAGAATTCGATCACTTTATGTTGCGGTCAATGATTGCCATTTTGACGACCAATAGACAGGGCGTCTGGACTTTCCTATCGGTGTTTCCATTCGACGGCGTGTCTGAGTCGATGATGTGGCACATCCTTTGGGTCGTCTATAACAATGGTAGGGATGAGTTGGACGAGTTGGGAGGTCTTTGTCCATACTTTAGTGTCAGTTACTGGAAGAATAAGTTCCAAGAAGTGACCGTTCAATACCTGTTCAAAGAGAAATTGAGTTCACTTACGATCAGTGAATCGCAGAATTTGTTGTGTTTATTGTATAATATGTCGATTTCGAGGAATGAGTCCACAGAAAAGGAATACATTTCTACTATAATTAAAGAGATTTTTGAGATCTCTTTACAATCGCCTCAATTAAGTGATAATATGACAGAAAAAGGGAAACATATTTTAGTGAAATTAATTACTCGATATAACTCGTTGTTTAAAGTGCTTATTCGTCAACTCCTGGAACACGACTCTAATAATGAGGTAAACGATAATAGTATTTGAATTTGTTTTTTATATATTTGTTAATTATGACACTATTAAGGCATGCATTGAGTTATTCTGTGAATTACATATTCACGTATGGAGTCCAGACGACGATGACATAGATTTAATATCTGAATGGCTGATCGCGTATCCAATCGAGCATTTACTCAACAGAATTGCAAGAATCATATTCTCGCGACTCAATTGGTCGTACGATTCGCGAAACAAAGAGCTGTTCATCGAAGTAGAGAAACACCAAAAAGTTGCCGTCGATTTGTTCGCTTCGCTTAATAGTCACTCTCTTATGAAAACTCCAAAGGATTGTCAAAATAGTAATTTAAAAGAGTTTGGAAGCGAAACATTGCTATCGTTGGCTAAATCTGTTAATCCGAATGATTTCACGAAATGGGTTTGGAATGAATTGATTACTTTAAAAGTGCATTCACTAGAACTCAATGATAAAGAGTGGGATTTCCTGTTTGATGACAAACGAGACGGCAATCAAGAAGACGGCAATACTCTTAAATTGAATTTCGATACACTTCTGATCCCCATTTGTCGAGGCCTTGAAGAGCAAAACTCTGTCGCCTTATATTTAGCTCTCGTTATGACAGACTTCGGACAAAAGTTTGTTAAAATAAAAATACTCTTAAATTGAATTTCGATACACTTCTGATCCCCATTTGTCGAGGCCTTGAAGAGCAAAACTCTGTCGCCTTATATTTAGCTCTCGTTATGACAGACTTCGGACAAAAGTTTGTTAAAATAAACAATTATTTTATTAATTTAGTTGTGATTAAATGATTAATTCTCATTCCATAGCAAATCAATGGATAAAATAATTGAATCGCTCGAAACATTGCTGACAAATCAACACAATTTTCCAGTCATCCATCTCTTGTATACTTTGATACCCTTTCATCTGAAACAATACGAATCACTCGTTTCGGGACCAAAACTATTGAATCTTTTGAGTCAATTGATTACCGAACGAACCGATGATTTTGTTGCACTGATATTTCGTCAGTTGTCTAAGTTTTGCAATAAACACAATAAACTAAAACTTCTCATCTGTTGGACTGAAATGCTGTTTGAAGTGATTGGCTCTATATTGCGAACTCACGCCAACTCTTGGTTTAGTTCCGGCGCCTCAAGACTCCAACAAATCGCTTACATATTTGAAAAGATTTCAGTTTTATTATATTTGGACCAAAACCTCAAAGAATTATATTTCAAATATTTAACGGATAATCCATTCGACATCCAGTCGTGGAAAATACCGACTTCCGGATGGTTTTCATCGGTGTTTAGTTGGGGCTCAAAGTCGAATCAAAAGTGCGAATGGATTACTCCTTTCCATTTGATTTACAAACAAAACGCCAGTAATGTATGGCTCGCTTGGCTTTTCATTCAAACGGATGCCATTCGTTTCGATAAAGTTTGGGATCAAATTGTACACGAAGTCAACGAAAGCTCTGAAGTCGCTATAGAATCAGTCGTTAAGGTTTGCCTATTCTTTGGATGTATTCATTCACTTATAGAATGTTTCATTTTTTAGTCAATTTGTCAAAAAGAAAGTCATTCAGCGATTCCTTTGCCATTACTTCCAATCAATTCGTGGTCAACACTGGCGGTCAATTCGGTGGCCAAACCTCCCCACGTAATGGAACCGTTTGTTTGGTTCAAATTCTTCCAATTATTCTTCACGTGTAGTGATTCATGTCGTTCTGTTGGACAGACATTTATTTCCGACGAAAAACGCAAGAAATTAATTGTAAAATTAAATAATTTAATTGATTTTCATCACAAACAATGGCTGAAGAGTGAACCAAATGATACACTAATCAATACAACCGACGACGAGTTGACTAAATTATACAGGGCTTACATCCTATGGCTGGAAGACTCTCAACTCCACGAAGTATTTGTTAATACGGATGAACTTCCGCCACAATATCTCAAAGATTTGCTCAAATATGCCATTTCTAACACTGAATGTCCGAACTTTTATGATAAATACATTGATATAAAGCGCATTCAAATGGAAACTTCAAAGATATACGAGTTTTGGTTTGAATTGCATTCAACTTCTCTCGCATCAAATTTTGTCTATGAAAATGACGATAAAATATCTAAAATTGACGGTAAATTAATTTTGTGGATACTTTTACCCACACTTAACAGCATTTAATTTTTTAGATGAATTGCCACTAAATATGCCTGAAGTGAAGAAAACAAATTTGGATTCTTTTAATATAAACCTCGAGGCTATTGAAAACAGTTCGGCTCTCTTGTTGTTAATTCAACATAACGTTAGAGTCGTGTTAGAAGAGGCGAAGTTAGATATACTTCTCATTAATTCAATATTGATTTATTTATAATTCTTATCTGGAATTCATTTGTAGATTCTTTGAAAATCTGTTGCAAAAATTTGATGATTTGAATAAGAATTTAATGCAATCATTGCCTGATCTCTACCCTAACATTAAAAAAGAAGTAAGTCTTACAATGAAATTGAATCCTATAATAACTATTTAATAACTATAATAATTGTTATAAATGTTATATGAAATG